CCAAATGTCTGAACGCGGTTTCTGGGACCTCTCTGCGGCGATCCTCATCCGCATGGTGGCACTTTGTGTCATTGGGTGTTTATCGCTTGCATGATGTCAAGGTGGAGTAGAAAGTCAGTCAGTAAATTGTTTCTATAATTCTTACGTCCTTTTTAGGATGACATTTTTTGTTATTTGAAGCGCCACCCTGGCTTTTGCTAGGGGCCGCAATATAGGCAGGCCATAAATATGGCCAATTGTCTAAACGCGGTTTCTAGGACCTCTCCACGGCGATCCTCATCCATATGGTGGCACTTTGTGTCATTGGGTGTTTATCGCTTGTGTGATGTCCTGGTGGGGTATAAAGTCAGTCAGTCAGTCAGTAATTTTTTAGCTTATAATAAGATATGGTATTTTGATATGTATGACTTTCTCTAGAGGAGGGAAGTAGCCGGACAAGCTACACCTCTTATGTTTCGCAATAAATATACGAATGCGGATGTCAAAGAAACACATGGCCTATAGAAAGGAAACCGTTCATTTGCTGTGGGCGCTCGTGTATGTAGATGTAACAATTGAAGATTTGATCACACACCTGTCTTTTATCTCTTGGGTTGAGCTAAGTATTGCAATCCCGTTACCGCCACGTCCACATCTTCAGCAGCCAGCGAAGGGTTCCAATTAAGATGGTGTCAGTAGCAATTTGACTGTATGTGTCTCTTGCCTTTTCTCTGAATGCAGAGTGTCGACTAGATCCCCTGGACACTCCTAGCTGTACCATTCTCTCCTCTGTGTGTAGAGTGTCGACCAGATCCCCTGGACACTCCTAGCTGTACCATTCTCTCTTGTGAGTGTAGAGTGTCGACAGATCCCCTGGACACTCCTAGCTGTACCATTCTCTGTTGTGAGTGTAGACTGTCGACCAGATCCCCTGGACACTCCTAGCTGTACCATTCGCTCTTGTGAGTGTAGAGTGTCGACCAGATCCCCTGGACACTCCTAGCTGTACCATTCTCTCCTGTGTGTGTGTAGAGTGTCGACCAGATCCCCCTGGACACTCCTAGCTGTAGCATTCTCTCTTGTGTGTGTGTAGAGTGTCAACCAGATCCCCTGGACACTCCTAGCTGTACCATTCTCTCCTGTGTGTGTGTAGAGTGTCGACCAGATCCCCCTGGACACTCCTAGCTGTAGCATTCTCTCTTGTGTGTGTGTAGAGTGTCAACCAGATCCCCTGGACACTCCTAGCTGTACCATTCGCTCTTGTGAGTGTAGAGTGTCGACCAGATCCCCTGGACACTCCTAGCTGTACCATTCTCTCCTGTGAGTGTAGAGTGTCGACCAGATCCCCTGGACACTCCTAGCTGTACCATTCTCTCTTGTGAGTGTGGAGTGTCGACCAGATCCCCTGGACACTCCTAGCTGTACCATTCTCTCTTGTGAGTGTAGAGTGTCGACCAGATCCCCTGAACACTCCTAGCTGTACCATTCTCTCCTGTGAGTGTAGAGTGTCGACCAGATCCCTCTGATCACTCCTAGCTGTACCATTCTCCCCAGACCATAATGGTTTATTCGTGCCTCAGCATTGTTCACTTCTCCACATCTAGAATGTCATGCATAAATTAATCACCCCTTGGCCTGTTCCAGTGGAGTACCTAGATATGGAAGGGAGGGCAGATGCCCTAGGCACCACTTAATAAAAAAGCGGAAATGGCGGCTGCAAAACATGCAATTTTTTTTTCCAGCTGGCATCTACTTATCTGTAGGAACCGTAATGAGTTTAATTTTCTAGAAGAAAGTTAAAAGGGCGCCACCCTACGCAGATACTGGCATTTACCACTGATCAGTCCGAAAGAAACGAATGGCTGGTGAGAACTCAATGGAGAAAGAGGAAATCGATCGGGTCAAGAAAACAACACTTGACCGTCTTCACAGAGAAATGGCTGAAAGTTATACATGCTGGCATAAAGCGTATGCAAAATTTGAGTTCCTCCACGTCATTGCAGGGTTGTGTTATGGTTTAGATATCGAACTAAATCAGAAGTTGAAAGCTGATGTGAATTTCACAGCTCTGGTGAGGCTTCTATGTGAAGAAAGTTTGTATTGCAGAATGTTGCTGTCAAGTGATACCCGCATAAAGATAACACGACCTAAAGAGCTTTCGAACTTCATTATTAAGAATGAAGACGGCAGTGTCTTTCCTTATCTTCACACAACTGTTCAGATAATGATAACCATTGTAGTTGGAAAACAGCACTAGAAGGTGATGCTTCATGTCCTTGCTTCCACCTTGAGAATTCCCTCCGTATATTTGCACTGATAATTTTCAAATAACAATACTGCAAAGTTATAATCATTCATCGATAAATACACACCCACATTTGATTAGGCTAGCATGGAAAACAATAAATCCTTTTTACAAAACAGAAGTCTATGAGGGCGGGCTAACACAAAGCTTGCTCTATTAGGCCTAATCTATTAGTAGGCAAAAAGGCCTTCATTGACAGTTACAGGATGACTGGTGGGAAATGCATGATTTGTGTATATCAGGTTAATTCTTCGCATCTTCACTCGGGATGGATCCCACCCCTTCTGGTTTTTCTGACACATTTTGCGAACATGATATGACATCAACGTGAAACATGAGCAATTTTATTTTTTAAAGTTTATTGTGTGAAAGCATGGTTTACAACAATATTATTTACAACATTAACAAAAGCAAAAATAATAATGTGGTTTTAAAAAAATTAGACCTTTTTTTTTAGGGAGGGGGGGGGGGGTGCCTAGTTGACCATGTTCTTAGTGCATGTATCCATGGCGAGGCACAGACGCCGTCTGGAGGTGACAGATTCAATTCCTGGCACGGTAACTATAGCTTTAAATTTTTAGGTTGTCTAGTGTGTTCTTCTATCTTTCTACTTCTTTCTATAAAGGCCGATCAGCACACTTTATGTTACTTGATTAATGCGTTATTCGCACCATGCGTTCCTTTCGCGGCACATAGTATCATCAAAGACAATAATACACCACCTATTAGCAGATAACTTCGACATGCTTGACCACCCATATATCAGATCACAACTTAGAGAGGCGCACCCACACTGCTTGACTAGACACAAACAACATATGCTAAATACAATAATACACCTACGACATGGTTGAAAACACATATATCAGACCACCCAAATATCGCAGCCTATTAAAATGGACGCTAGACAGCGGCGCTGTTCGAAGCAGAGGCAATTTTTTTGCTTCTGCCGGACGGTGGCCGAAGTATTTTTGCTCCATTTGTAGACTGGATATAGTTTCGTCGCCCAGCTTCTGTGAGCTGCGGATTGCATTTGGAATGTATTTTCGACTGTGACCAACGTGGTGGTGTGAATTGTAGATTCAGAAAATGACGTGCAATGTTGGCGGTGCCCGTATCTGGTTAAAATTGATGGCGTGGACAACTGCTGAACTGCATTTCTAATGTTGGACTGTTTGTGTTAGCACTTCGGATGGATACCGTATGCTTTAATGCGAGTGTATGCTAGATATGCTGAGACAGCAGTCTGTCAATCTTTCCACAAGGGACTGTGATAAACATTCTGGGTGTTTTTCGTTATCACAGGAGCGGAGCAAAGATGGGGCGACCCGTTGCTATGAAGCTGAAACTAAGACTACCAGACTACCAGACTTAATCTAGATATCACAATCGCCAACTTTGATATAATTATCCCAGTCGTGACCCCATGATGACCCATAAATCTCCTCAGCTGACACGACAACTTGACCCGCAACTTTAGGTTCTTTCTTTAAAAAAATTAATACAAAGTTAGTATCATGTGACCTTATTTCAACTTTTCCAAAAATATACACGACCGTTGCGGGCAGGCTCCATGGCTTCAGGCCGGCAGCAGGTTAGGGCGGCAAGGTATGGTGCTCGCAGCGGTTGACCTCTAAACCACACATATATAATGGGAGCCGCGTTAGCGCAGTCGATAGGAGACATGCTTTTAAATCCAGCTGCAGCACACGACCGGTGTTCGAAACCAGGCGGTTCTCGGAGATCACCCTGCCTCTAGGAAATAGGTACCAGAGTTAACACTCTAGGGTAAAAATGGAGGAACGTCGATGTAGCTACAGACTTGCGTGCGGACGTCGACACAGGCGGACAATTTTTTTTAATCAGCTGTCCGCACTGGTGGCAGAGTACTTATGGTTTATAACCGTGTGCAGTGACGCGGGCTCACATCTCCCGACTTGACCTTTACCCTATATAACTATAATAACTTAGTAGGTCCTTTGCATAACGTCGGTCTCGCCATGGTCTGCCTGAGAGAAACAGTCTCTCGCCAGCTCTTCCACCTCGTGCACATTCCTACCCAGGGTGTCCCTTTTATCCTGTACCCCATCTTCGCACTGATCGGCCCCTGCCCCTCTTTCCTAAAACCATGCATTCTGATATTATTCTTTCTAAATTATCCTAGCGTTTAATATGGACCAAATATTTCAGCTACCGAGACTAGATGTTTCGTTTTATCGTGATCTTAGCTGTTTAGATGCTCTATTGTCTTGTCCGTTAAGTGTTTTAGCCAGTTTGTGTTGCACATAGTACTCTGTTGATAAAGACTGGTCGAAACGTTCGGCTGTATTTATGCACGTCTGTTTATGTTGCATTTAGAACTTCTTGTTAATAGCTCGACTGGAGTCGCTCCCTGTTGACAGCATAACTATAAATTATAAAGTGAAAGTAACAAGTTTGTGTCTGTATAGTATAAAAATGACAAGTGAATTTGAAGTGACAAGGGACGAATCAGTTTAAAAATAGGATGTGACATTGACATGACGGTATAAAATGTGGAAGTGACGAATCAATCAAAAGTAAAAGTGACACGTCGGTATAAAGTGATAAATCAGTACGAAAAGTGAAAGTGACAAGTCAGTATAACCCGGAAGCAGAAGGGTGCGGGTGAAATCTCGCGTGGGTTCCCTGCTTGGAGACGGCAGTATTATTTTCTTCAACATGGATTGTTAGCAGGATGGATTTGTGGCACACATATGTCACAGACGACGCCAAATATGCTTTTCTCCTCGGCAGTGCCTTGAGAAACGACGACCCCGAACAACTTATTGCAGTATATGATAATTTAATACCCGAAGACATTTCGCAGACACGGGTAAGATAGAAAACTATCGGATGTGTTAGTCTTTTGAACTGGTCGTCCAGTGATCAAGAGATACATCACTGTATCTGTCAGTGTGAAGTCAGTGTCACTGTCTCTTTCCCGGAAACGATGGTATAATCTAACACTTTCCGATGTCCGCAGTCACATACTACATCACCGTTAGTAGTAAGAGAAGCAGAATAGTCACTTCTACCAGTATATGTGAGTAGACTAACCAGCAAACAAGAGCACGACAGACTAATCCCCACACCCACTGTACACCATCAGTACAATCAACAACGTCAACATTGTTCCAAACATGATTCAGATTACTGACTATTACGGCCAGTGTAGTTTATACAGTTTAAGTTCAGAACCCAGGGGTGCAGACACAGATTAAACATTGGAGGTGCTTAGTCTCTTTAATAACTTTATAGGAGATTAAGGGTGGGGGTGGGGGGACCTCAATGAATGGCGTAGGCTTTGTTTAAGTGCTTAAAAATAATAAAACAATGTGCTAGATATTAAATAAATATAATACTATATTTGAAATTATGGCTATACTTCGAGCACTAAAGATGGCGCCCGCAAAATATTCTTTCGAGCCACATGTCAATTGCGCACTTCCAGCGACTTAATCTGTGGTTTTCCCGCGACTACCGCCACCGCCACGAGTTCCCCAGGCAGCGTGGATTGGGGCTAAACTAGATGGCTAGGACCCACGAGCAGCAGCTTCCACATCTCCTGAAGCTTTGCTCGTGAGTCCTAGCCATCTAGTTTAGCCCAAATCCACATGGCGTGGCGGACTCGTGGGGTTGGCGGTAGTCACCGGAAAATGATGGAGAACCGCAAATTATGTCACGTGACTGTCTCGAAAGGATATTTTGCGGCCGCCATATTTAGTGCCCGAAGTTCGGAGGATAGCCGAAATAATGAATAGGATGTATATAAACAAAAAACGGCTCTCCTTCTAACTTAGTCCCCATATTATGGCAGCAAAAATGCCCTAACAGGGCCTCAGTCATATGCAAAATGGGGACTTTCTCCGACAAACACAGCGCGGCAAAACTAGGATTATTGCCTGTTGACACTCTCGAGAAGCGCAACAATACACACGATAATAATGACATGGCGCAGAGACCACGCGCTGTGACGCAGGTTAACGATAGTGTTCATCTGATTGAACTCACTGCCGAGCGCATCCCCCGCACCGCTATGCGCAGTGCGGATTGGGGGCTAAACTAGATGGCTGGGACTTGGAGCAGCAGCTACCACATCTTCTGCAACTTCCTCCAATTTATTTGTTCGTGAGTCCCAGCCATCTAGTTTAGCTCCCAATCTGCACCATGCGTAGATGCGTGAGGGATACTGCCGGCGATGCAGCATAGTCGCAGAAACTGGTCCGCAATTAACATATCGCTGAGACCCTGTTAAAGTATTTGTTTGCCCTCGATAATAATGGCTTGTTATTCGGAGGCAATCCTAGTTTTGCCGTGATTTGTTCCTCTGCAAAAACTCCGCATTTTACACACGACTGAGGCCCTGTTAGGGTATTTGTTCGGCTGCCATAATATGGGGACGAAGTTCGAAGGAGAGCCAAAAAAACTAACTTAATAATACTTACTAATATTTGTGGTGGGGGGTTGGCTGAGTTCCTTTAAAACATTATTGGTAGGGACATTTAAGGTGCTTCAGCCCCATGTTTAAATATTGAAGCATGTGACAGTAAAGTGAGGTGCCTCAGCCCCATGTTTAAATATTGAAGCATGTGACAGTCAAGTGAGGTGCCTCAGCCCCATGTTTAAATATTGAAGCATGTGACAGTAAAGTGAGGTGCCTCAGCCCAATGTTTAAATATTGAAGCATGTGACAGTAAAGTAAGGTGCAGTGTCACTACCAGTAACTGACCTAGACCAGTGGGATCTTACTAGTTACTTTGTGAATGCAAAGTACTTCTAATAACATTTCAATTTAGTCAGTCCAGGCATAAAGCTTACTGCACACTTACATTTAGTGATTTACTGTTATTTGGCCTGTGAGATACCAGCAGTCTGCATTGAATAAAAATGTCAGATCTGTTAAATTGATGTGCACACAAAACTCAACTCTTTGAACAGTATCTAAGTCCAGAAGTGAATGAACAACCAGGACTTTCTGCCAGAGTTTACAGCTGGTGAACGAGAAGAAGAGGAGCAAACACCCTTGTTTGGCCTGACTCTTTTTCTCATTTTAATTGAATAAATTTTTTTGGGGTGGTTTTTGTTGTTGCTTGGTTTGGTTATCACTTGATTAATTTATCACCCTACATCTCTGAGGACATTCAGTATATCAGCCAAATCTGCTGCTCCTCAACTTTCTACAGTAGCCCTTACATGCAAGCTTGTTTCATGCCCCGTTACAGCCACATAATCTAGCTGAAATGTGAAACTTATATTTGTCAGCCATGATCCCACTCAGGGAATCCAACAGCTTTATGCCGGGTTTATCTTGATCTTCCTTAGCATGCTTATTGAGTCACTGAGAAAGAATGGCTGGGTAAAGGTCTGTGTCTCATGCCATTTTATTGAATTAGTTACCTCTGCAACCTTCATAGTCGCACTACTTGTAGTCAATGCAAAAACTACATTCTTTCTATACAGTGTGACCTGAGCCATCAAAACTCAAGCCCTCTGTGTATAATAACAGCAGACACACATTAGTAAATAATAGCATCACTCAGAATTTCTTGTCTCTATCTATCTATTGTCTTCTTCACTTTTACCGGGTTGCAGCCCAGTGTCATGGTTTAAAATATTTGTTTTGTTCCTCTCGCGTGATTTGAGTGACAGTTTTCTGGATCTTCTGGCCGTATTCAGCTATTCTATCTATCCATTTTTTCCTGGGTCTTCCTCTGGCCTTTCTTCCCGATGTTCTATTGTAAAAGGCCTTATAGGCAATCTGATCCGGTTGCATTCTTACTAAATGACCAAACCACTTCATTCTCTGTCTTTCAATATGTTCCATGCATGCTCTTGTTCCAACTTTGTCCCTAATGCTGACGTTTGTGAGTCTGTCTCTTCGTGTATTGTTGGTGACTCTTCGGAGACATCGCATTTCACACATAGTTATTTTTTGCATATGTGATTTGTTCATTGTCCACGTTTGGCACTGATAACATAACGTAGGGATGAAAATGCTGTTGATCATCCGTTATTTGGCTGGTAACGAGATCTTTGGATGACGAAGTGGGGCCAGTTGGTAAATGACTGCATTGGCTTTTTGAACTCTAGCCTGTATCTCTTTATCGAGTCTTCCATCTTCTGTAAATATGCATCCTAAGTACTTGAATTCTTGAACTTGTTCTAATCGTATGTCATTGATCTTTATGTTTACATTACTGTGTTTCTTTCCTATGGTCATTACTTCAGTTTTTGAGGTGTTTATTTTCATGTCAAATTTTGTACAGTTAGTGAGCAATGAATCAACATGTTGTTGTAGTTTTTGTTCTTCTTCTTGTAACAAACATTGGTCATCTGCAAAGAGAAGTTCATTTATAATATCTGTGTTTTGGTTTGACTCCTGTGCAGTTTTATCCATATATGTGATGAAGAGTAGGGGTGATAGGACACATCCTTGTCGTACTCCTGATGTAATGGGGAACCAGTCTGTCATACCTTCCGTTGTTCTTACATCGCTCTGGCTATTTTGATAGAGAGCCATTATGTTTCCCAATAATTGATCCGGTACACCATATTCTTCAAGAATGTTCCATAGTTTATTTCTGTTAACCTTGTCAAAAGCCTTCTCTTGATCAATGAATATAAGATTCTGGTGTTTATTATATTCGATTGTCTGTTCACAAATTTGCCTAAGAGTAAATATTGCATCAGTGCAGCTCTTACCTTTTCTAAATCCAAACTGCTTGTTACTTAATTGAGGTTCTAATATCACTCTTGCTCTTCGTTTTAATATTTTTGCAAACATCTTTCCTACATGGCTTTGTAAAGAGATACCTCTGTATCTTGTCTCTGCAGCCCCATATTTTGCAGTCTGTGCAAACTGAAAAGGATGTGCAGCACTCTGTTGGAACTTGCACCCATCTTGTCTGAGTTTTATGTTCTTAAGCAAACAAAACTGTTGATTTATGTCCCTGACCCATACAATCTAAGATTTTCCTCTTTTGAACTTGCCGCTCCCTTTTTCACTCACCCCAAAGATTATTTCTAAAAAGCTGCCAGTACTTACCCCAGAGTTTATTTCTAAAAAGCTGCCAGGTTTTTTCAACAGTGGTATCAAGAGCAGAAAAGCAGTGGCAAACTACTGCAACGTAGATTTGCCTAGAAAAATCACAACAGCCAAAAAATGCTGCGGTTGGTTCTGCAGAGTCATGGAAAGTATACGCAGCTAACTTTTAATATTTTTGTGTGTCCCTGGTGCTGTCATCATTCTTCTGTAACACCACATCTCTACAACTTCCACATATATTTCCTACTATTTGCTGTAGGGGCAGTGATGCAAACAATAGTTTCTGGGTTCTTAGTTCATTTACGGTGGCTCAGTTCACTTATAATTTTCTAGGGAGTGTGTTTCATTGGGCCTAAATCTTGTTTAAGTACACAATAGTAATAATTGTGCAGTCTCCTTTGGAGACCAAAGGGCTGAAAAGAAGATAAGGATACTTATTGGAAGGATAAGATCTGTGGAAGGCACTTTGAAGGAAGAGGGCAAAGGTGGAAAATAGGACACTTTGGAGGAGAAGAAGGACACAAAAAAAACACGTTGAAAAGAGAGCAAGAGAAGGAAACTTGCTGGAAGACAGTAGAAGGGCACTTGTTGAAAGAGGACAGTGAAAGGGAGGAGGCAAAAATACAATTGAAGGAAACATGTAAGGGGGAGGGAGATGACGGAAGGAACTGTTGGGAGGAGGGTGAGGGAACAGTGAAGATGACTGGTGGAAGGTACAGGATTATATTAGAAAAAACTGTTGGAAGGAACTGACAGAATGAGAGGAGACAGTGGACGGAACTGTTGGAAGGACAGTGGTCGGAACTGTTGGAAGGAGGAGAGGACAGTGGACGGAACTGTTGCCAGGAGGGGAGGACAGTGGACGGAACTGTTGGAAGAAAGGAAGGACAGTGGACGGAACTGTTGGAAGGAGGGGAGGACATTGGACGGAACGGCACGAGTTGACATTTCTCCAGGTTGCCGCCCTTGCCATGTAATTGTTCACTTCCGTAGCCGCTATGCAGTCAACACCTGACCTCTGAAATCTGCATATGATTACTTATTAATCAAGGCTCCAGAAAAACATGGACGACTGATGCATCCGTCCGTCGGCACAGTTGTTGTACTTGTTATCCACCTGTTGTTGTGTGTCCGACACCGGCCAGTCCACGCTTGTCCGCTGGTATTTGACCCTTTCTCGCACATTGTTGACTGTGAAGTGTGAACGAGTGACGCGGGGGTATGATCTTTGCTGGTATGAAACATTTTGTGCGCTAGAGTTCAGGAGTGGTAGCGTATCGGCGAAATGAAATCCGAAAAAATGTTGTTGACTTTTTGCTTTTTGTTGTTCGATGATAAATAGTCATTAGTTTCAGTGAGATGGAAAGGATGGATTTGCCGTAGAAGCTGTTTAGTTTATTAATATCGTTTGATAGATGTAGTTTTCTTTACTGATATTGAAAAACCGTTACCGACCAGTCGGTGTTAAGTCGTGCTTGGATATTGTTTTGGGGGAAAAAAAAGGGGGGGGGGGAGAGATCTTTATGCTCGCCAAGTCAACTTCATTAAATTCGTGGTTTCATTACTTTTCTTTACCAGTTCTTCGTCTATTTTCGCATGATTGGTTAACTCATTATATCTGACACGGAGTCATTACTGTAGTAAAGTCAAAAACAAAGATTTTATTATGCTGCATTTCATTTTTTTTTAAATATTTTTCTAAAGTCACTTTCTTTGAAGCCTCTCATCCAGCATGTTCTGTCAGTCACTAAGGTTAGTGCATTAAAGTGAGAAAGATTAAGAATACAATTATACATCTTGTATTGCTTGGGATTTTGTCATCTGCCCCCATTCCTTTGATCAAAGTCTTATCATCCTTCCCAGCATCACACAGACCTTTCCACAATCACACAGTTCCTCCCAGCATCACGCAGGCCTTTCCACAATCACACTGTTCTTCCCAGCATCACACAAGCCTTTTCACAATCACAGTTCCTCCCAGCATCACACAGGCCTTTCCACAATCACACAGTTCCTCCCAGCATCACGCAGGCCTTTCCACAATCACACAGTCCTGCCTAAGAAACCTACCTCCTTTTAGAAGGATATTTTATCCTTTAGAAATTGACTGAGATGCCACAATTGATGGTATGTGGACAGTAGTTGATCACACATGTTGGGCTACCTTAACAAAAAACTTGTCATATACAAGAGAGTTAAGAGACTATGACTCTTCATGTTCACTGGCTGTAATTTCCTGTGGAAAGTTCTGGTTGTTCTTCCACTTTTGGAATTTGATGTTTTTCGTGCTTTTTTTTTTGGGGGGGGGGGGGGGAATTTTTTTTAAATATCCAGAAACCATAAGTTGTTAATCCTTTAGCTCGGTACTATGGATGTCGCAACCCTTCAGCCTTGATTCCATGATAAATACCGTAAATCTAGGAGAAATGTGGCTTTTCTGCCTACCCCCGGCCATGAACCCAGACCACAATGAGTTCATATTCAAGATAGGCATATCAGCCATGTGCACCTGTGAAAAGGTGCCCCAGACAGCAGAGCATGTACTCCAGGACTGCACCGAATTTGACACATTAATGCAAACCTTTTGGCCAGAAAGAACAACAGTGGAACGTAAACTCTATGGACCATTGAAAGAATTAACAACAACAGTGAAATTTAAACAAGAGACAAAATTGCTGATATAGACAACTTATTTCAGGCGAACGAAAGAAGAAGAAGAAGAATGAGTTCATCACCCATTCGTACCTAAGTTTTCATACACATCCATTTTACACATTTGTATGCAGACTGTTGGTTATTTTCCTCTGATTTAAGAGGGAAAACCCCTAATTAGCAACATAATTCTTATTGGGCAGCTGGTTTGTTCACCCTTTCCCTTGCTCACCCCCAAAAAATGGTTTGGAACCTACATTGGGAAAACAATGAAAAGATTGTCAAAAGAAATTTCTAGTTCTTTAAATAGATTTGCACGCTGTGTAGCCTGCACATTGTCCCATGCCATGTTTTTTTTTTCAAGAATGAGTTTTGTTTCTTTGCCCACCCAATTTGAGAGACTGAAGAGTCCTGTTGTTAGTTCGTGCCCGGGTATCTCTCTATGACAGAGTGGTTAAACTGTTTGACTATAGCTCTTTTGATTTTGACCTTATTTCACGAGCATTGTGATCTTGTTCATGGATGCATTTTTTACGGAGATCTCTAGTGGTAGTTGAGGGATCTGCAAAGTCCATGCTTTGTGCAGCGCAGAGCAAGCCATTCTTTGGAGAGAGAGTTGTGGCCAAATGGCATAAAACTCAGCACTCGAAGTCGATCCTCTTGACTCTAAACATATGAGAGTGCCTGGATAACTCTCCACTTTGAGCGTGAACATAGACTGTTTAAGACAGTGTGTCAAGTATTGTTTCATTTCGTAATTAACCTGATGCACCATAGTTCCCTGGGTAAAAGCCTCACTTTTTTGCACAAAATATAAGGCCTGAAAGCAGTATGCCTCTTACACAGTGGTAGTAGATTGTTGCCAAACGATTTGATAGAAAATTTTGCATACGAGCCTCATTTGGGAATGCTGGTTCAGGGATGACATTAAAACGGTTGCCATGAGAAGAGAATGGAACCCTTGGGTGAAGTTTTCTTGGGACAGTTTGACACCAGCAGGTGGTGAGAAGAAACCAACTTCAGAAGTCTGTACCTAGGTTGAACGATCCTGGGATAATGTAGAGATTTTGACCATTGTCAAGTCATTCAAGAAGTGAGGCGATATATGAAGATTGGTTCATAATCCGAAACAGACATAGACCAGCTAAAGAATTCTTTTGAATGAGTTTTCTAGATTCTGTGATGAATAAAACTTTTATGTAATCTGTTTTTTTTTTTTTTTTTTTTTAAACGTGTCCCAAAATCAGGCTGTGTATATTTTATACATTGAGATCGTCTTATACTTGGAGAAATACAGTATATCTTTCTGTATGTCATAGACGAGCACATGTAACTACCCCATGGTGGATGACATTTGTGTTAAGTAAAACATTGACAAAGTTGATTGTTCACTGTTACTTAGTGGCTGTGATTCATTCTTCTGTTGAGAAAAATTATTTGTGTTTATTATTTAAAGCAGGGAATGGAGGTGGATTTGAGGAAACACACACACAAGATGGTATTAGAAATAAGAGTGGCTCAATACAAAAACAAACATTGTAATGGCTGTTTTGACTGTGATGACCTGGAAGATGGGAGCTGCAGTAATGTAGTGACTGGACACTGACCTTCTGGTCAGTATTTTAGATTCAGATCTGCATCCAGTCATGTTTTTTAATGGCATTGGCTCCTAGGGTGAGGTAGCCTAAAATGGGTACCACGTAAAGTCTTAGGAAGTAAAATCGGCTGGTGTAATGCTGAGCATGTCAACCGTAGAGTGCAAGTTAGTTTATTAAAATGTAAGTCTAACATCATTTGCTATATCATTTACATGAAAAGTGCCCTTAACTTTTTTTTTAAAGGTCTAAAAATGAAATATTTAGGTGTTGCATTCACATGTGTGCTGATTATGTTAGCTGTCACTTAATGAGCTTTTCCTTCTTCACAGCTCCAGCAAATCAAAGAAGAAGCAAGACAGATTTCAGAATTACCAGAGCATCAGTTCAGTTCACTAGTGCTGAACGCACGTACATACAGTCTGGCCATTGGCCGGTCCAGCATGAGTCAAGCTAACAGTGGGAACATTGTACAGCTACAAGATCGCAGCAGTGAGAACTGTGTCGATGCTTCTCTAAAGGAAGATGGACAGGGAAGAAATATTCATTCATGGTCAGGTGAAAAGTCTTGTAACTCATTAGAATCATTAGTGTTGAATAAAAGTCACCCAAACGCTTGTGACAGTGACCTTGTTAAAGCTGAACTTGTAGCTACGATAGAAGATGAGGATTGTGGACTCCAGAGCTCATGCCAAAAAGTTTCCTGTGTAGACAGTGCAATCAACTCTGACAGTGTATATGGCGACAGTGAGGAAGATCGGCCGGGGTCATTTGATTACATGCCTAGTCACGGTCATGTGAGAATCACACGCTCATTTAACCCTCCTTTTGACGAGGAGGTGAAAGTAGACTCCAGCACAGGAGGTTCTTCTGTTGAGTCACCTCGCAGTGACACTTCTGTCACTCAGGATGAATACAATCTGGCTGACGAGGGCACAGAGATGGCCATGCTGTCCTACAAGGAGACACCACATTCTGTGGATACAGAGCGCACACACGATGGCGACTGTTGGGACTATGTTGCGTCTAAGAAACGTTCAGATGATGAAGAGATGGAAGATGAGGAAAATGAGAGGGATCGCCCCAGAAACTTGTCCACTGTCAACCCTTTCAGGCCAACCTTACCCAAATCAGTGTCCAATCACTTTGATCAGAGCATCTCTTATGGTCTGAGACAAGTAGAGGGCAACGGATCTGGGTATCCAAACCCACGAATAACATTCACTTCTTACAGTCAACAACATTACCAGTCTGACAACGGAGAAAGGGACAAAACTAGAAATAAAAGCAAAGGTGAGTTTTTAATACTGATTTTATACTTTCGTTGCATTTCTTTGCTGCATCAATGTGAATGTTCTTCTTTTCTTGCATTTATTCCCCAGTGGAGCATAGACTTTCAGCCAGCTTATGCTTGGCTTAGTCAGTCAGCCTATTGCATGCAGCTCACCACGTGACCTTCCTGACTTAATCATTCTCTAGCTCATTTCTGTGTGTGTGTTTTTCTGCCTTCATTTTCTTTTGCCTCTGCAGGCTGCAATGTAAAGACCTAGTTATATCGTTCTCAAGGTTTTTATTTTTCACTTTAACCTATCCAGTTCACAAAAGTTTTTTAGTTTTTGTACTGTCATTGCATATCTTGGTTTACTATTGTGAGTATTGCCAGCTGCTAACTACATATGTAGTCTTATTGTCATTGTGTTAATTGGTCCAGTGTTTTTGTGAATACTAGCCACCACTGACTACCCGTGAAGTCTTGTACTGTCAACATTTCTTGATGTGCTGTATTGTTCTCATAACTGGCAACCACTGATATCACATAAGGTCTTGTACTGTGATTGCGTTTCTCGATGTAGTTTGTTATGGCAAATACTGGCAACCATTCACTACACACAGACTTGATTGCTGTGTTGTGGCAAATACTGGCAACCATTCACTACACACAAAGACTTGATTGCTGTGTTGTGGCAAATACTGGCAACCATTCACTACACACAAAGACTTGATTGCTGTGTTGTGGCAAATACTGGCAACCATTCACTACACACAAAGACTTGATTGCTGTGTTGTGGCAAATACTGGCAACCATTCACTACACACAGACTTGATTGCTGTGTTGTGGCAAATACTGGCAACCATTCACTACACACAAAGACTTGATTGCTGTGTTGTGGCAAATACTGGCAACCATTCACTACACACAGACTTGATTGCAGTGTTATGGCAAATACTGGCAACCATTCACTACACACAGACTTGATTGCAGTGTTATGGCAAATACTGGCAACCATTCACTACACACAAAGACTTGATTGCTGTGTTGTGGCAAATACTGGCAACCATTCACTACACACAAAGACTTGATTGCTGTGTTGTGGCAAATACTGGCAACCATTCACTACACACAGACTTGATTGCTGTGTTGTGGCAAATACTGGCAACCATTCACTACACACAAAGACTTGATTGCTGTGTTGTGGCAAATACTGGCAACCATTCACTACACACAGACTTGATTGCAGTGTTATGGCAAATACTGGCAACCATTCACTACACTGAGACATGATTGCTGTGTTGTGGCAAATACTGGCAACCATTCACTACACACAGACTTGATTGCTGTGTTGTGGCAAATACTGGCAACCATTCACTACATACAAAGACTTGATTGCTGTGTTGTGGCAAATACTGGCAACCATTCACTACACACAGACTTGATTGCTGTGTTGTGGCAAATACTGGCAACCATTCACTACACACAAAGACTTGATTGCTGTGTTGTGGCAAATACTGGCAACCATTCACTACATACAAAGACTTGATTGCTGTGTTGTGGCAAATACTGGCAACCATTCACTACACACAAAGACTTGATTGCTGTGTTATGGCAAATACTGGCAGAAATCTTTAGCCTCACCATTACTGCATTTTTTAATATGCTGTGTTACCTTTAATAATACCAATTACTTACCACACTTGAGCTCTTGTTGTATACTTCTTTTCTATGTTTATCCTTAAGATGGCTTTTGGCACATTGTTTTGTGGGTTACAGCTAGTCTGTGGTATCTGCATCTTTCAGCCCAATACATCCAATTTCAGCAGACCCTTGATTAATCACATTTCATGACATGCTTGCTCAGAGGTGTCGGTCAATGTCAGCATCTGTGGCCCAGGTGTTGCAAATGCACTTTATAATGTTCGGGCACTGGGATCAATCCCAGCTGCAGGTGATTTGGCAGCAGACTGTCTTGTGTTGGTTTTGAAAGGGGTATCAGGAGTGGACTGTTCAGAAAGCAGTGGCAAACTACACAACATAAATTTGCCTAGGAAAACCACAACAGCCAAAAAAATATGCTTTGGTTGGTTCTGCAATGTCATTTAAAGGATACATATAAATTTTTTTTTTTTTAAAGAGGCAGTAGGTCTGTTTTCTTTTTTTTTTTCTCTCTAAAAGGACGCTCCAGAATCTACACATGGATTGTTGGGTTCAGATCTTTCTATCATACTAGGTTTAACATCTCTTAAGTTCTCACAGTAATCTGTTTTACAGGCTGATCAGCTCTTCTAGAAAACATGGCAGTAAATGAAAAATGTAGTCCTGTAAAAGAAACCACCATTAGGATGTGAAATATTAACTGTCACATATTCTATGCAGTGGCAGATAAGATGGGAGAGTCAGTTCCCTCTCTGTCTATCCCAAGGGTTAAGACATTGTCTCAAATCCATTTTTATGATCTACAGTGTAGTATAAAACTGTAGTTGAATTCTGTAAAGATAATTATTCAACTGGTGTTATGTTGACATACCTTATATTATTATGCTTTCCTTGTGATATTGTCCTTATGACCCCGGCCACTTAAAAAGTCAAGTTGTCCGATTTTTCTGGAAGCCTCATTGAAAAAAGTCCCGGAATCATGACAGTTCTTCTTCTTTTCTTCTGCCTTTGTAACCTCTAATAGAACCTAGGCCCTCAACCATCTCACGCCAATTTGTTCTATCCTTTCCTATGACATGCAGCTCTTCACATGTCCTCCCCATCCTTTTAAATTATCTCTTTAGCTTCCTTCTCCATATGTGTTTTTTATGTGTCTTCCTTTATTGCTATGCCTTTTTGGGTTCCAGTGCAAAGACATTCTATTTACCTTGTTCTCAGTTTTTCTCAACTTGTGTCCTACCCAAAGCCAGCGTCTTTTCTGCACCTTTTGGTCCACTGAAACTTGTTTAGTTCCCTCCCAAAGCTCTACATTAGTGATTCTATCATACCATTTAATTCCCCCTATTCTGAGCAGGCACCAGCTAATGAATGTTTCTAGTTTATTAGTAATTGCCTTAGTTGTTATCCATGTTTCCGCTCCGTACAATAGTACTGATTGGACACTAGATTTAAAAATTTCAGATTTAGTATTAGTTTTACATTTTTTGGTACCACAAATTGATTAGTTTTATGAAAGCTCTTCTTGCCTTTTGTATTCGTATTTTAATTTCTCTATCAGTTCTGCCGTCTTTTTCTACATTACTGCCCAGATAGATGTAGGACTCCACATCTTGGAGTGGGATACCATTGAGAGAAACCACATTACTGTTTGCCTGATTTATTCTCATTATCTTTGCCTTTATGAACATGTAGACCTGGTTGTTGTGATCTCGCATCAAGTATATTTTATGTATCTTGCATCTGATTTTGAGAGAGGGAGCAAAAAAAAAATATCATCAGCGCATCCACATCATCAAGCTGTTTTGTAGGATCCACTGAATTCAGTTCTTGATATTAGCAGTTGCTGTCCTCATAATCCAGTCTATTGCCAGTAAAAATAGGAGAGGCGACAAAAGACATCCCTGTCGCAAACCTGTTTTTATTTCAATTTCAAAAGTATCTGTTATCTTTTCCTCCTGAATAACTCATCATTTCATGTCTTTATATGATGCCTTTACTAAGTTTAGAATTTTATGTGGGATTCCATTATCCCCCATTAATTTCCAGAGAGATTCCCTATCAATGCTGTCAGAAGCTTTTTCATAGTCTGTAACTCCAGTGTAAAGTGGTGAATTGGATTCAGTGCTATGCTCTGTTATTATACATAATTACTGGATAAATAATGGCTTTTAGGAACAACCATGACTTTCTGCTGGTGTTTGCATTAATTTACATAGAGATTCCCTATCAATGCTGTCAGAAGCTTTTTCATAGTCTGTAACTCCAGTGTAAAGTGGTGAATTGGATTCAGTGCTATGCTCTGTTATTATACATAATTACTGGATAAATAATGGCTTTTAGGAACAACCATGACTTTCTACTGGTGTTTGCAGATTGTGAACGTTGGAAAGAATAACATTAAAAATTAGTTCATTGGTGGCCTCTATAAAATCATGTTTTTTTTTTTAAAGTTTTTCCTGAATTCCAATGGGGTTGTGTCCAACAGTTTTGTTTCCTCATATATCACTGTCACTTCAGTTAGTCTCGACTACTTATTGTGTCTGTATCCCTCAGTGGGTCATAAACTGTCAACTAACTCATACCAAACTTTTTATGGTGAACATTTTTTTTTCTGGATGGGAAAGCCAGTCGTACTCCTTACTGGCATCTTATGACATGCATGGTAGAGTGCAGAATTAATGTTATTTGTTTGTCATCTTGGTTCGGGTAACATGCTGGCAAAGGTAGGTTTGTCCTGCTTTTGACTGCTGTCATTCTCTGCTATAGTGTCGCTAAGTCTGTGCGGAAATTGATGAGTGCTTGCACTGTCACAGTGTAACATATTTGTCAATGTCTGCATGTCTTGTATATAAGTACCTAGTTTGCTCAGACACTTCTGTAATACCACTGTCAGTGTGTGTGCGTCATGTATTTAAGTGCAGTGGAACCACTGTTCATGAACTCATCGCTTCTGTAACTGTTCAGCATTGTTACCATTTTGTCTTCGGGGAGGGGAGTGTTTCGTTTCTCCAGAACCTCATTCGTGAACAGCCAGTCCTGAAACTTCGTACTCCAGTGCTGAGATTATGGCGAAAGAGCAACTCAGAGGAGACGTATACTCCAGTATGCAGTGTCTTGTAATGCATGTCTTCAACAATGTTTCTGCTTACCTTTCATCCTTGGTGGATGACTGGCAGAGGGATCTGACTTTGCCTCAGTGAAGTTGCGTTATACGACTCTTCTGATCCAACCCCATGGAAAACCCTCAGGTCATGTGAACTTGCGCCAAAGCACTGTTTCCGATGTGTTTTGAAGTGTCTTCTGACACAAATTTTTCAGAGTTTCGGGAAAAATCTATCTTGAACATTGTCTCCATTGTTAA